CTTAAGTCATTCCCAGTCACTTACCGCTTCAATCTTACTTGAATCCACAGCAGCACCACTAGCAGAAATCACATGACCTAGAAATTGCACCTCAGATAGCCAGAATTCACACTTAGATGGCTTAGCATACAACTTTTCATCTTTCAACACCTGCAACACAGTCCTCAGATGTTCCGAATGCTCCTCTTTACTTTTGGAATAAATCCGGATGTCATCAATAAATACTATCACAAACTGGTCCAAATACGGTTTGAAAATACGATTAATATAATCTATGAACACCGCAAGGGTATTAGTAAGCCCAAAAGGAATCACCTGGCATTCAAAGTGTCCGTATCTGGATCGGAATGCCGGTTTAGGAACATCCTCAGGCTTAATCCGAATCTGGTGGTATCCGGACGGGAGATCAATCTTAGAGAATACACAGGCACCCCTCAACTGATTCAACAAATCATCAATACGTGGCAACGGGTACCTAGTCTTAATCGTAACTTTATTCAACTGCTGGTAGTTAGTACACAATCTCATGTTACCGTCCTTCTTTTTCGCAAATATTACTGATGCTCCCCATGGAGACACACTCGTTCTGATAAAGTTTTTTGCAGATAGTTCTTCAATATGCTTCCTCAACTCAGCCAGCTCTAGTGGTGACATCCGGTATGGAGCTAAAGAAATAGGCCCCACAACAGGTAACAAATCAATAGAGAACTCAATCTCTCTCTCTCAGGTGGAAATTCCTGTATCTCATCAGGAAATACATCAGCAAATTCATTAACCACTAGAATACTTGAAATTTCTAACTCCTTGTCACCAACCAATCCACCCAAGAATACATAACCCAGATCACTAGCCTTCAAGGCTTTAATGGTTTGACAGACGGACAGATAAGGAGACGGACAACCAGCGGGCCTCTCAGTAGATAAAATCAACCTCTTTCCGCAGCAATCATTCATTGCGCAGTTTTGAGACAACCAGTTCATACCCAAAATCAGATTGACAGAGGTCAGGGGCAAGATAATCAAATCAATAGTGTGGCCCCTGCCTTCATAGACCTGTAGCAGTAGTAATACGCATGGGGAGAATTATCCGTGTTACACTTAAGTTCAACCCCTAAGCCACATATTCCGCCACGAACGAATGTGTCGCTCATGAATCAAACAACACAGATAAATCAATATTAGAGATGAAAATTATACCTTTTACAAGATTCAGTGTCTTCTCTGTCTGCTGCACATTGGTAGTATACATCCATCCCACAATAGGAACAGTTGGCAAGGCCTGCAGATTCGCAGCCTGCCCAGTATTACTGTAACACTCTCTAGAAAAATGCCCAACTTTACCACACTTGAAGCATGAATTTGGAGCCGCGGTATAAGGACCCTTGTGGTACCTCCTACACTTATCACATTGGGGAGCAGAATTTATGTCATCGTAACCACCCCTTTGGCCACCACCCCTTTTAAATTGGCCAGGAGGTTGCCTTACCTACAACCCCCTACCTCTGTTGTTATTATGATGATAGCCACCTCTATGATTTGAACCAGAAGGACCAACTGTCCTCTTAACTTCTTGATCTTTTGCAGTATTAGATTTCGGATATCTGCCATAAACAGTCTCGACCCTCTTGCACTGGGTCACTAAGTCAACAAAATTTTTTAGCGTAGTATTTGACATCCTTTTTGCAATCTTTTTACTCAGCCCTCTTTGAAACTTAGCAGATAAGAATTTCGGGATAGGCAGGACACCCCCATAATTGGCAAACTTGACCAATTCATTGAACTTGGCCAAGTAAGCATCCACTGTCATAGTTCCCTGTACCAGTTTATCAAAATTCCCTTGCTTTACCTCTCTGATGTCTCGGGGAAAATATTCTTCAAGAAATAAGCTCTTAAATAGAGCCCAAGTCAGCTCCTCTCCCTGAATAACAAAAGGGCGAGATGCGTTGCACCATAACTAATGGGCATCACCCTCTAGCATATATACTGAGTACATTAATTTCTGAGGATCCTAGCACCTCATAACCTGAAATATCTTGTCCATTCCCATCAGCCAGGTAGTAACAATCTTCGGGTCCTTTGACCCCTGAAATGCTGGCGGTTTATGTTTCCTAAAAGATATGAGTCTCAGCTCATCAGCAGCACCGACATCCAATTGCTTAGTAGCCCCAGAAGACTAAGCAACAAATGTAGGATCAACAGTGGGCTGACTAGCCTCACCAGAATGGTGACTAGCCCCACTCCCCTCCTGCTGAAGTGTAACAGATGGTGTAGGAGTAGGAGTCACCGTAGCCGTATGTGGAGGAGAATCATCCCTCCTACGTTGAGCTCTCTCAGCCCTCATCTCAGTCATGAAGGCCTACAACATATCTTGATTATTCTTCATCAGGTTTTCTGTCATGGTTCTATTAGCAGCCATCTTCGCATGCAGAGCATTCATAACTGTAGTAACCGGATCAGGCGATGGAGGATCTGCACCTTGTGTTCCACGACGACCACAAACCCTCCTCATGACAATTGTACATGTAACACAAAGGAATGAGCTGATCGAACCCACATTGAGGAATCACATATACATTAATAATAAGAGTTTACAGGTAGCTATGCAACACAAAATACAGTCATACATAATCAGAGTTCCCTAGTAAACTGCTTTGATACCATAAGATGTAACAGTCTGTTGTACACCGGTATTGTTAACATTGATTATGATATTAAGCGCAGTTACAATCACAACAATTCATTTATAAAAATGCGAGTAAACTTTTTCCTTTTCATTACGCGGACATTGCAAATAATAATAAAGCGTAATGAACAAAAGTTGTGACCGTAACTGAAAACTAATTGCAGAATAATTAAAACAAATACCTAAATATCTTACAATACTTCTGTCAAGTCACTAAGGGGTTTCCATAAACTCACTTAGCATAAATCTCACTTTTACAGTTTTTACCTATCCGAACTTGGTTCAGTATTTTAATTACTGCAGAAAATCAGCGTGTCGCGAACCTCCCATATTTTTGTATGTTAAGTCTAGAGGAAGTTGAGTTTCAAGGGTCCTTTTGGCTCTTCAATGGTAGCACTCTCGGTGGTTGAAGGAGAAGTGAGTTTGGTGGAGTGAAATTAAGTCACTTAAGTGCATTCTCATCATTGCTTGCTGGGCTCCTCGCTCCAGCGTACAACCCTCTGCGAGCTCTTTCCACGCTCGCTGGACAACTCGCTCAAGCGAGCTCCCCAACGAGGAGTGGCCGATAGGGCCCTTAACCTAAAAGCTCATTTCCTCCCACTTAAGCCCACTTTAACACTTAAAAGGGTGTTGTCTACCTAAAAACACGCTCTTCACATTGATTGAACTAAGTGTTACGCTTATTTTATCTACAATATGGTTAATTATCATTTACTCTAATTTAATTAAGTCTTTCATTTAATTAGTCTACATTATACATAATTAAATAATTAATCCAATGCAATTAGACATTTTACATATTACAGTTATTATAGTGAGAGAAGTGTATTATAGAATTATGTAACAGAGAACAGAGAAACATTTTTTAAAATATATTTTGCAAATACTCGTGGGTATGCTCGCTGGAGCGAGGAAGGCTGGCGAGCAAGGTTATTGCTCGCGAGGAATGCTCGCTCATGCGAGGAGAGCAACAAGGAGCAACAAAAATTTGTCTTTGCTCGCGAAACATGCTCGTTGAAGCGAGTGTTGCTGCGAGGAGCAAAAGAGATTTAATCTCCAAATTTTTACCTCTTAAATGATAATTTTCCAAATTAATTTCAATGCATGTTCATCAATCTTTAAATCAAGTTTTCAGTATCAACAAATTCAATTGAATATAAGATGCATGCATGATATGCATTGGAGCTTGATCATAATGCTTAGTGATATAACTAAGTGTGTTACAAAAGTCTAAAGACATCTAGCCCACAGTTGTTTCACATCTTCAATTTGAGTTCTTCTTAGGCTATGACATCTTCAAAACTCTCTTTAGTTTGTAGGAAGTCCTTCACTGACAAATCAGAGCAAATTGTTGGTCCTGTAATTCTTGTTATTGGGTGTGACTCCTACATTCTCATAAATTGTTGCTCATGAAGCAACTCAACAGCATGGAATTGCTGCTACAGACATTGATTGAGGTCATGCATACCTATGTTGTCTGCCATGGGAGCTTGAGAGGGTAGATGAAAGCACCAAAATGTAACAAATTGGGAGGGGCAGATGAAGATTTTAGAGAGAGAAGAAAGGAGAGAAAATGATTCAAATACTTCTTATCATTTCTAACAAACTTCTGCACACATATACCCGTATCAGTATTCTCAACGGTTAAAGGAAAATTACATGAAAAATAAAACTGGACTCTTAAGCATTAAATTAATCATTCGCTTGGGCATCGTGGACATTGAGCTGGTTACAAGTAAGGAGACTAATGTAGGAGTCTTTTCGCGTGATTTTAATTTATAAATAAATAACACTAAATTAACTTTTGAAAAAAAAAAAAAATTGGTTCGAAAATTGAGATGCGAGCACCAAATGACTTCTATAATTAAGCATAATCATAACTGATACAATAATAAACACACATTTTCTTTATTTAAAGTATAAATAAATATTTTCAGCCTTAAAAATTATGAACTTCGCATTGCACGTTATACTGAAGGAATCGAGTAAAGTTCGTTTCCTTTAAATGGACATCACAGACCAGTAAAAATTAGGATAAAAATATAAGCCAGCATCCTGACAATGTAATCTTGCTTCTCCCTATAAAGAACAAAATAATCGTAAGTGTATACCAATCAATTGCCTTAAAAAATCAGAACCTAGTAAGCTCAATTAGCAGTGAAATGGACCGAATTGAGAAGAAATATGTGCAGCGTTTCTGGCTTCTCTTCACCTTCCCCAACATACTTCTCATCAGTATTTTGTTAATCTACATTACCAATGGCACCAATTCTCATTAATTAAGCTTCTTTCATCATAATCTATAGTGTCCCATATAGTCATAATATTGCCTCTGGAATCCCTAGCTTGCCACTGAGATAAAATTGTGTAGGAATATCGCATTTGTGGATATTGGAGACCGTGTCTGGTTTCGACATTGTTAATGACCCTGTCAATGCTAGCAATGGCTCTAACAAAAGGGTTTGGCTCTCATGTTTTCTTTCCTTCTCCTTCCTCATTTCTTCTAATAACGCCTTGGTGGTGTCAATACCTGTTGAGCATTCAGGAGGGAAATAAATTTGCATCCAAATGTGAGGTTTTATGTTATTGCTCTCAAGAGTTATGAATCATTAGGAAAACAAACTTGAGATTAAGTTAATGCCTCACCTGCGAGGTACCCTCCATGTACGTAGCCATTAAATCTTTCACTGGTGTGCTCTCCAGTGAAGAAAATGCGACCTACAGGGGCCTGAACCATACCAAAAAAGACAAATCGCAAAAGGGACAAAAGAGTTTATTTAGTTATTCTTCGGGTCTTTAACTTCATAGATGAACAGCAAAAACTCATATAAGCACAAAAGAAGATGAACAAATTAAAACTGCCAACAAAAATCCAAAATACAGCACGGGATCTCAACCACACAAGGGAAAAAACACCTTTCTTGATTTTCGAAATTTCAATATCATATTTAAAAGTAAGCTTTAATAGTAGCCTTGCAGTATTGATATTCGGATTCCCCACTTCCCCATTCATTAATAAGCACGGTTACCAGAAAATGAAAGTAACATCAAATTTTTTGATTCACAATTGAATGTGAATTTAATGATTTGAAATTATACTAAAGAAATGAAATTTAACTATGTAGCACTGTACTTTGAACCAATTGTCCCCCCTTTACCCAAAACATGCACCTTTTTTATATTTTGGGGAAGATAGTTCAGGAACGATACCAACAAAATTAAATTATATTAAATTCAGGGCCTGAATAAATGCATTTGTTGAATTTTAATAAATATTTAGTGTATCTGTTCATTCATTTCATGATACGTGAACAAAAAGATATCATATTATTTAAAAAAGCAGATGATATGATATTTTTTTATCCATGTGTCATAAAATAATTAGACAAATGTATTAAATCTTCGATGCATCTAATCTAATGCACTAAAGATTTATTCATTATATTTGCTAGGTGAGATAGGAAGATTAGTATTATTAGACGGAGGGATAATTAATTATAATCTCAGCTGGAAGCTCCAGGTCATCACTTTGTTTTGTCATTGGATGTAGTGCAGAATATAAAAACAAAAATAGCATCGCATGATATATCTAAGAACAGAACACATACAAAAGTAAATTGTCACACAATTATAAAATATATGAAAATTCATCATGAAGAAGCAAACCTTAATATTATGAAAAATTTTAAGATTGGACAAAATGGGATAGTTGCTGTAGCTGCCACGCTGAAACCTGTTATTCCACCAGCGGGGAACAAGTATATCAATGGCATCGGGAATGTTGGGTCCAAACATATCCCTTAGCACCGCCATCGCTTCTCTCTGAGTCTCTTCATCAGATTGAGCTTCCACACGTTTTGATTCCTCATTTGTCAATGTCACAACTAAGATATTGGAGCCAGGATATGCGTTGTCCATGTGCTGGTGACAAAACAACAAATCATCAGATAACTAAAAATATTTGGATGAGCAAGCAAATAAAGTATACAATTATTCTGATTCCCAGTAAGATTTGGAAAACACTGGACAATTCAATCATCCCCGATGTTATTCAAAATCATTTTGATTCAGATTTAAGTTATTTTCAGTTATCCTAGAAGTTCAGATCCAAAGCCAATGCAAGAGTGGATAAGTATTGACAATAATGGAAACTGACACTGTGTACCAAAATTCAACAATAGGTCAGAATTTTTTTCCCCTGTATCGTATAAATTCAATTTTTTCCCTTTAATAATACTTTGTTTGAAATATCTTATGTTACACAATATTCTATGTGAACAAAAAACCAATCATAGCTGGAGTAGTTCCCATTACGAAAGGTAAACAGATAACTCCAAGGAATGCCAATATGACGAACACCGTAGAAAGATAATGAACCATTTAATATTTATTAAGAGTAATAATAAGCGGAAAAATATTATATCTTCTCTATCCCTCCGAAGATATAAATAATATTATAGTTATAAGATACGGGAAAAGATATTCTAACAACCAAGTTGTATTACTACTATGTTACAACCAATCAATCTCACCGTTAGATTGATTATGTTGATCCAACGGTTATATTTATTTCCATCTTTGTATGGTCATGATTCTTCAAATGTAATACTTTATATTTATTTCCACCTTTGTATGGTTATGATTTCTCATATTTAATGCTTTCACTTTAAATATGGGGAATCATAACCATACAAAGATAGAAATAAATATAACCGTTGGATTAACATAATCAATCTAACGGTGAGATTGATTGGTAGTAACACAATTTGGTTGTTACAATATACTTCCCCATAAGATACATGAAAATAGTATAATGTGCAGAGAAAAAGGTCAAAATTACATATCCCAAATACAAATAAATAAATAAATACCTTGGTCACCTAACGCAAATTAGTGAAGGGGAATATATTCAAAGCTATTTCTCCATATCAAACAATATTTTTTTTTTTTTTTTTTTTTTATCAATTATAGCCTTTGGCTTTGTGTATTGAATTGGAACACAAAAATACTAACAATCATAGGTGAAGTAGTAAGGAGCTTATTCCCCTTAATTATATACTTCAAATTTTAGTCACGAGAACAGAGAAAATGGTTTTGAAAAAATAGCCCCTAATATGATTTTGATTGTGCTGGAAACAGACTAAACGGTTAGTAAATGAACCCGTTGGAAAAAAAAAGAAAAAAAAAGAAACACACAGATGGCATTGAAAGCAAATTGTAAATATATTCATCATGAAGTTTAAATGTTAATTACTTCAGATTTAGAACTAAGTAGTAAGATTGATGAAAGTCAACGACACACTAGGATTTATGCAAAAACATTTTTTTCACAGGACGTGAGGAGACTCTACATTTTACACGGAATTTTGTTATATACTGATATTACAAATATTTAATGTTTGAAGAGTGTTGGGCCACAGGAAGGGTATAAAAACAAAAGCCGTAATTTTGTATGCTTAATAGCCAGTTGGATAATATTATTTAAGCTAATTTTATATATTAAAAAAAGAAAGAAAGAAAAACTGCAAGTTCGATGGATAGTTTAGGATGAACCATGTGACCCACATGTACAGCACATAAACTACAACAACAAATGATTATTTAAATCTTCAGCATGCCAATCGTTCTGTTTAGTATATACTTTTTAAATCATCTAAGATGTATATGTTCCAGTTGGTCCCTAAGGTTAGGTAAGTTGCTAGTACTTTCACGGGATGTAAAATTGACAGCAGAGCAATTTTTCCATTATTTCGTTTGCTGGCAAGAATTAGAGAATTCAATTGGCAATATAATTCAAATTATTCCCCACAGGCTCACTATAAAAAACCAATTGCACGTAAAAGTTTAATTTGTTGGGTGAGGTTATATTAATGATTTTATATATTTCTAACATACTCCTGACAAGAGAGCTTATTGGGTTTGAAAGTTGGAAAGCTTAAACTGTTGGATGAGACTACATTAATGATTTTATATATTTTTAACACGCCCCATCACAAGAAAGTTCATTGATCTTGAAAGGTGAATGATGCATTAAGCTCAGCCTACTTATGCTAAAAATCCACAAAGAAAATGAGAGGTGAAACTATATTAATGATTTCATATATCTCTACTATTCGCCCTAATGAATAGATGAAAAATGCTTCAAGATTTATCGAGAAGAGAAACAAAATAGAAAAAGGTGGTATGAAATACATCAGGGAAAATGAACTGGAGACCATTAAGGAAAATTTTAACAAACCTGCCAAAATGTGTAGTAACCTCTCTGCTCGTGAGCATATATGAAGAATTCCTTTTCGGGTCCACTTGGCCAAAACTTATACGGAAACTTCAGAAAGATTTTGGTGTACACCATTACATCACATTTCCCGATGGCTTCCAATTTCCACCTCTGTTTCATTATTTTATTCATCATTGACATATTGAATCCGACAAGTATATTGTTTAGCAAAACAAAATGTATTAACTAATAATATCATAGAATGGACGTTTAGTCGACTAAAGGCAACCTGAGCTCAGAGAACAGACAAAGTATTTCAATTATCATATGCCTTAATAGTTTAATTTGATGACCTCATACACTGGTAATTCCATGCACACAGTTTCATCAAATGCATTACATGCTCTTAGGTATCTTGTTCAACACTTAAAATTGCTAATTATTGAGGTTTGTATCATACGTTAGGTATAGAAATCTCAGAAGTTGTAACATGCATATAAATTTTCGCAACTTCGCCGTATGTTATGATTATAAAGGAATATCGTAATACAGAATGACATTATTCCATGTGAAGTGTAAACCATGACTTGCCCTATCTGTATAACATGGAACAAGTTGCTCTTATATATAGACTACCCCCCTTTTATGGGACACACAATAGAGAGGTTTAGGTCAGATTACCATTTCGAAGGTCTTAACTCTTGCAACTGTGATTAGTCCATCCATAGGCTTGAAAAAATCATAAATATCCAACAGAGTAAAAATCAACTAGGTTTTCTATGGTGTCCCCGACCCCACTAGTTACTTTTTAACCTTTCCTTTCCATTTTAAAGGTAAAGCCCATAGATATTCAAGATTAGCTACAAAAAAATCATACCCAACGGCATGACATAGCTGATTTGTTCATGCCAATTAACTGAAGTTTCAAGTAATGTTTCTTATTAAGTTTGAATGTGTTATGATCCTACTCCAAGATATGAGACTTGGAGTCCATGTCGGAAATATAAAATTTTGGTACGGGGTTTATATGGACTTTAGGCTCTCTTATCTTATGAGTTAACTTTCGATGTAAGGTTCTTCATAGGTTACTATCAATTAGTATCAATGCCTTCAAAGCATGGTAAAATTTTATGATCCTACTCATCGAAAACATAAGATTCTGGTGTGGAGTTTATATAAATTTTGGACTTTTCTATCTCATGGGTTAATTTTTTAGATGAGACTCTCGTAAGTTTCGTATCATATTGCAATCATACCAACCATTGTCATGTAAGTAGCATTTTTCTAGAGACAACATAATGCCGCAAGCTGAATTCACAACCAACATATATATGCAAGTTGGCACCCTCATCGAATATACCATCCGCGTTAAGACTGTAGATCACTAATACCGTGGGTCATGCAATATTGCAATTAATCCCTGGTTTCTGCATATGAAGACACCTCGAAAATCCACCTTCTGGCGTCATCAACCAAGAGCTGAATTTAATACGAGGCCTAGTTTTCCCTATATTTCTTTACATTCCCAATAAATGATATTTAAGACTGTGGGGCCGTAACCTGTAAACAGAAGGGAAACTCCTACTGTAGGGACCCGTAGAGATAGAACCACACACTATAGTATAGATTCCATTTCCTCTATGTTAGTAGCAAGTACATGCCTTAATGCTTTATTATATAATTGAATGGCCTTGATTATCATATCAAACCCCTGAACTCCCATAGTACTAAAGAATTATTATATCACCTCTTAAAGTTGACAAAAAAAACTAATCCATATGATTATATTTATTCTATTCATCCTTTTATCACATATGTTTCACTTTTTCTTTTTTACTTTTAGCAAAGAAGTGCTTATAATATTATCCGGGACCAAAAATCATATGATATTATACTATAAAATTCTGCTATGCTAGATAACACGGGGCTCCTGATAGTAGGGGCAGAAACGAAAGAAGAATATATAGAGAAGACGTACAGGTAAAGGTGGATTGAAGGCAAGTAGGTCGCTTTGGAGAACGCCAATGCTAACGGACAGAATCACGTAATCGGCTTCGTAAACGCAACCATCCTCCGTTATCACCGTAACTCCAGTTCTCGAGTGCTGTAATTCCCGCACGACCTGCACAAATCCATGCAATAAATTATGGTTCAGCTCAAAACTCTCCACTAGAGGTGTCAAAACTGTTCACATGATACTAATTTGACACAAAATGAATACACGAGACATGAACATGATATAGATTTTTTTATTTTTTTCAAAAACTTCAACACAAACATAATACGAATTTTGTGTGATTGATACACATGATACGAATGACGCAAACTAAAGGTCAAAACTGTAATTGACCAAAAAAAATTAAAAAAAAGGTCAAAATCTAAAAAAAATTAAAAATTAAAAATAAATATTTTAAAAAAATACGGGCCAACACAAATTTGATACGACATGACACGCGACACGATACAAATTTTTTACGGATCATTTCTCTAACATGAATACGACACTAATTTTTTTATGAGTCAACCCGAACACAAATTTCTGTATCATGTCACAGATCGATCCACATGTCATAGCCTATTTTGACACACACATTATTACTATGGCGAAGAAAAGTTAACTCCCTTGTAAGTAAAATGAACTCCATGATCCAAAAAAATCAAATGCAGTCAAAATTAAAAGTAAAGTAATTTGAGGTCCTGGGCAATAAATATCGCATGAGAATCTGAGTAGTCAGGCCTGAAAATCAGCTTAAAAATTCAAGGAAGATTTATTGCAAAAGAATCTGGGAAGACTTCGAGTATAATTTACCCGGAATTGCAACAATCTAAAGCCAGGCCCATTAGTTTCTGATATTGAAGCACTTGAGGTATTGCATAATAAATGAAGATATTGACAAGACTTTCTTCTTACATGTTATTATTTGAGATGAAAAGACACATCGGTTTAGGTCATTGCTAATGGGTCAATACAAATAGTGCGGCTGGTAACAGAAATTGGGACTTCGGGGCCTACTAATTTATGAGATGTCGAACACTTTAAAAAGGATTGAAATAGAAGACATTATTTGTGGGTCAAATTTTTCCTGTAAATGGAGGTTCTAAGAAACCGTAATCTTAGTCAAAAAATTCAGCAATAATCAAATACAACCTGAGATCGACCCGCTTAGTGTCTGTCTTCAATCAATTAATTAAATGATGACAAGAAAGATTTTGAATATAAGAAATTCTATATAGAACAGGTCGAATACTAATCCACCAGTGTTCGTATCCTTACTGAACAATATACAACGTGCAGACCTTTTGTCAGAATTTATTTTTTAATAATGACGTGACATGTTTTTATTATTATATATAATTATGTAACTTATTCGTTAGTTTTTGACTGAATATGGAATTATAACATTTTATTTTATCCATCAACAAATCTTATATTTAGTTAAAATTTTGTCTAATCTGTTAACGTTACTATTCATAGGTTCATGTTTATATTAACAATAGCTGGAATATCACTTCCTTCAATTATATTTTTGATTTACTTGGATCCCATAATATTTCAGTTCATAAAGTGATTAGGAACATAATTTTTAACCATTAAATATGTCCCAAGAAAAGCTTAATTTGATGATTGAATATTAGTTGAAAATATCATAACAAATTTATTCCGGATAATATATAAAAAATAAAGTAGAGAATTTTACCAGTAATCTATGGTTATGCTTCGCAAGTAACATAAATCTATAATCTAGTTCTATAGTTAGTTATTCCAATATAAGATCATTCATTATATTCTACTATATGATTTTAATATCTTCTCAAACTATTATCAAATTAAGAGGAGGGTTATATTCATAATTTTTTTTTTTACAAACTATATTATGTCTAACCGATAAGACTTCATTCAAGAGTGTTTTTAAGACATAGTATAATTTGTATATAAAAATTTATAAATATAATCTTTCCTTTAAATTAATTAATAATTTATGTGTCTAAAACAAAGTAGTCAAAAACTTCACGGAAAGATACGAGAGTTGACACCATAACAAGCAGCATGAGATGAGTGACAGAAATTTGCAAATATATATACACACTAACACACATGCGCAAAAATACAACAGATAAACGGTTTTGAAAAGTCATTATCTGCGAACTCCAAAAAGTGGGACAAACGAGCTTTAGTAACAGACAAGTAAACACAATAATAAAATAACAAAGGGAAAAGACAAAAAGCGACGAAAGTGAACAAATACAGATTTTTTACACGGGTAAGGAGTAATGGAAAAGTCTTATTAATGAGAAAAATCTAAGCGAGAAAAATGAGAAAGAGCTTAGTTTATGAGGTATTGTACCTTGTTGAGTTTGAGACGACTGTCCAAGATTCTACCCTCTGATGTGACGAGAAAATCTTCGGCCATTTTGTACAGCAAGTAATCGTACCCTCTTTCGTCCGCAACCAAAAATTCTCTCTCCCCAAAGTCCACGTAGGTAGATATTGGTTCCACCTCTGCACCCAAAATTTCTCAGCATATTAGGTCTATTTGAAATCTCTTAAGAAAAATAATTTGTTTGATTTTCAGAAAAAAAAATACAAAAATCTGTTTGATAAGTTTTTCTTATAATTTTTTTAAATTAAATTTCGAGAATTATTTTTATTTTCTATTTTGACTTTTAACTTTTTTAAAAATATAAAAAACACATTTTATTAATTATTATAAAAAAAACAAAATTAGAATACAATAAAATAGACCCTAATTTCCAATTTTAGAACTGAGACCAAAGAATCTTTTTAATTTTTTTTTTTAGTTGAAAGAACTCCTTTTTAATATCAATGTCAATTAGCTGAGCTGGTGCTCTGTTATTGTACTAAAAAAAAGCACAAATTTCAATAATTTTCAATTTTCCTTTGTTTCACGGAAGTAGCAAATAATTAACATTGAAAATTCAATGGAACCCACCAGCCATTTCGAAATCATGGAGGATGAAATCAATGGCGAGCTCAATTGGCGTCTCCGGCGTCCTAAAATTGGAAGCAAAAAGTAAAAGAACCAAATTTTATTATAGACAAAAGAAACAGAACCAAAACAGTTCAAAAAGGAAATAATTGAAGGCATGTTCATAAAGTCAAAAACACAACGCAACACATTCACTAAATTCGTTTTTGCGGCTGAAAACGACGCGCAAGGATTTTCACTTACGAAGTCGTTTTATTTATTTTGGTGCCATTATTGCCTCCGTTATTATTATTAATATCATCATCGTCGTCGTCGACTTCTTCCTGGTTCCTCAACTTCTGAATCGCCGAGTCCACCGCTTTTTTGTACGAGTCAGCAGCGATTCCACTGGGAAAGATCTTCCCGCTACATCCCATAACAACTTAAAGTTAGTTTAATTAAAACGCAGGCTAAAACAGAGCACCAGCCACAAAAACAACGAACGAAACGACGTCGTAGAAATATATCACGGAATTGCTTCTCCAAAGAATATACATTTAACATAACTAAATAAGAACTTACATATAGTAAAAATAGGGGAAATGATTTCTGCCGCATAGAGTAAAAAAAGTGAGAGAGAAATCATAAATATAATAGACCCCACTTTATTTTTTTTCTCTAGGTAGATAAAAAGTTTCTGGTTTAAGGTAGAAATCATTTTCCCGTAAAAATAATAATAAATACATAAATAAAAACTACTCTGAGGACAAAAGACAATGAGAATTGAAGAAGATGAATGGTTTTTTTTTTTTTTTCTAAGGACCTTCGATCGTAGATGTTGTAGCGAGCATTGCTGTAGTCGGAGAAGCAGGTTCGGAGGCCGTGTTCGGCGGCGAGTTCCCAAACGGGGTTGGATTCCCGGCCACCGACTCCGGCGATCCAACCGGCGCCGAGCTCCACCGACACACCGCCGAAACTCTCCTTGTGGATCCTGCCGCCGATGCGGTCGGAGGCCTCGAGGATCACAAGGTCCTCTATGCCGTTCTCGGCAAGCACCTTCGCTGCCGAGATACCTTAAAATAAAAAATTGAGCAAAATTAAACAATGAGATTGGAGAACGTTTAACGAAATTCAATTTAGAAGAAAGAGAGGTGCAGATGGGGAAAAAAAACGAAGTTGTGGAAACACGAATGGTGAATCGTTGCAGCGGCAGAACTCACCGGAGATGCCGGCACCGACAACGATGACGGAGGAGCGAGAGTGGGAATCCATGAATGTGTGACAAGAGTTAGAGAGAGAAGAATAGAAGAGTGAAGAGTGTGTGTTTGTGTTTTGAGTTTTGTTGGCACAGCTGAAAAAAATAGCGGGAGTCGGTTTATATAGTTTTTAATTTTTACTATTTAACCACTTATTATTATCATTAATGTTATTCTTTTTTTGTTCCCCCAACAGTAATAATGTACAGCGCATGTATAAAAAACGATTTATGCATTTTAAATGTCGGTCTAAGAAGGTCACCGAACGCGTCATTTTGGATAGTAACATGTTGTGGAAGTTGCCAGAGCACTTACCTAAGCTTATAGAAGCAATTGGTTTTTTTTTTTAAATGAATTCTTAAATTAGTCTATGAATGTTTTGTAGCGGATACATTGTTATCTCAGGATGTAAAATTTTTTCACTTTAATTAGTATAATTTTTTCACTTTGATTAGTAGTGTTTAAACACATTCATGTGAATAGTTTTTTTTTTTTTTTTTTTTTTTATAAACAGGAAAGAAAACAACAAAACAAACTAGATACCCATCATCCTGGGCACACCATCGCCCAAACAATCCCTTAATAATAGGTCTCTGCAACCATCAGTAGGAGATCTATACCAAACAATGTTCCTATCAGATCCATGTGCATGACAAGCCATCCAATCAGCTACCTATTACCTTCTTGATGGATATGAGTTACATCCACCTTCCAATTCTTATGAAGCATCTCCTTGATCCTAAGAACTAGAACAAAGCAAGGATGAGAATCAACATATCCATAAAGGATCAAATTTTGAGCATCTATGGAGTCTATTTCAAGAATTGCCTGTAGGAAACCATTTCTCCAGGCCCACTCCAAACCAATTATGATTCCCCAAAGCTCAGCCATCAAAGCAGTGCCACTAACAAGTTTTTTTGAAAAACCATAAATCCACCCTCCAGAACAATTTCTAACAACACCCCCACAGCTTAGTTTGGCTCCATTATCAAGACATGATCCACCAAAATTAATTTTGATCCAATTAGGAAGGGGAGGTTTCCATTGAATAAGAAGTTCTCTTCTAGTATCAGGATACAAACCAGCTTTCATCAAACGGTTGTCTGCCACCACAATATTTTGCACAAAAGTAGGAGCTTGGTGGACAATCTCTATGGGAGATTTCCTAGAATCATTGAAAATCATATTGTTTCTTTCCTGCCATATTAACCAGCACATAAACCCAAAAAATCTTCTCCAGTCCTTATTCTGATTCTTTCTACTTAAGTTTCTATCAATCTAGCATTTAAAGTCACCATTACAGAAGGAGCTAAAATATGTACCTTTGAAACATATCCTCTAGATTTATTGGGACCAGTCACAATCCTTGAAGATATGATTACAATTTTCAACATGGGCATGACATCTAATACATTTAATATCTTCACTTATATTTCTTATATTTCGTTGATCATTGGTGAGTAAATTTTCACCAATTAGCAGTCAAAGAAAAACTTTCACTATCTGGGGTCCTTCCCACTCCCAAGCCAGTGACCACTTTCTACACTCATTACTAACCAGATGGGGATTAAAAAACCATAAGCAGATTTAATTGTGAAAGTACTTGTAGGAGAAGGACACCAAATAACTTTATCAGTACCTGCTGCATCAGATGGAGGATTCACATTTGCATTGGCCATAACCACCTCAGCATCTAGGAATTGGTCAAATTTAGACCACTGCCAGTTTCCCTCTTGATTTAAACAGTCATCTACCTTCCAACCATTAGCTTCCTCATGAATGGGTCTTATAACCCTGTCTATCAGCCTTCCTATACCAAGAACCCATTTATCCCACCAAAACTTTGTTCTATTTCCATTTTCAATATGAATTCTCGAACCATCTTGAACATGTCTCCAGTTTTTACAGACTCCTTTCCAAGTGTTAGAGATATTTCTGCCTTCTTTTAACATAGGTATAAGATTAGGACCCACCTTATACTTGCTACGAAGAATTTTAGCCCAGAGAGTATCTTTGTTAGTCATCATACCATAGCCAATCTTCATAGCAAAAGCTTTATTTATTGTCCTTTGATTTCTTAGCCCAAGACCTCATTCCTCCTTAGTCCTACACACACTACTACTGTAACACCCCGTTACCGGACCGGTGTGTTATCATCAAATATGATATTAAGCGCAGTTACAATCACAATAGTTATTTGTAGTTACGGGAAAACTTTTTCTTTTTAATATCGTTTGTACCTTTAAAATAATTGTGATCATAACTCAAAAATTATTGAGGAATTATGAATGTCATAGCTTAATACCATGCAAATTACGTTTAAAGATGCTAAGTGGTTCTCATAAACTAACAAAGCTTAAAACTTATTTTATTCATGTTCGGTACCGGTGTATTCACTCTTTTCCTTATTACTCGATTAATTCAACACTTCCCTTTTGAATCTCATCTCTTACTATGTTATGACTCTCTTCGTTAGCTACGTTTGGGTTCAAACCACGCTCAAATCGGAGCTCTGTAGCTCGAGTTATGACAATTTTTCCAAACTGCATCCGTGTTGTTTTCGGGAAGCGCGCTTGAGCGTCCAGAGGCAGAAAAATTGGCTCTTTACAGGTATTTCGCGCGCTTGAGCACCCAAGGGCAGAGGATTTTCCTATATTTCTCGTACGTGGCACGCTTGAGCGCTCATATCAGCGCTTGAGCGCTCTATACCTGATGCAGACTTGATTTTCCCTATTTTCCTTTGGGGAATTACTTCCCACTCAACATATGACCTAAAAGATAATCTTACATCATGTAATATCTATATATCTATCTTCACATAATACATTATCTAATAAGTCCTTGACCCTTCCATCATATTAATTCTTCAAAATGTATTCTGTTTACAACATCAAGTGCTTCAATTAATACCAAGTGGCATGAACAAGTCTCATGCTCACCAAAATACCGATATAAGCAAAAGACATAGAATATACATCAATTACAAAAGACTTAGTATATAGTCATAAACATCCAAAAGCATGGCAATATCAACATGCAATATGTTCATAACGTAAGTCCAAAAATGCTAGACACTATGCTATGTGCATCAAATGTAATCCTCCAAAATGCTATGCTCTCTATATGCACACCATGATCAACTCATCCATTAAGCAGGCCTCTTGCCCGAAGATCCTCCAGTCTCACTATAACCTGAAATGATGTCCCCAAACGCGAGGTGAGATATACAAATATATCTCAGTAAACCAAGAGTACTAGAGGATCATTCCACCCCATGGCTCACTCAATGTGCATACAATGATCATCATATTAAAATGCATAACATACAAAATCACAACACACTGGGCTCACATCCAAGAACATCCACACACAGATTACGTTCAAGGACCCCATCATATAACTTTCGGGAAGCTTCCTAGTGCCTTTCCCATGGATGAGACGACCCTATGGCAAAACCCAACTCGAACTCCTTAAGAGACCTATCCAGCGGAAGTCCCATATTTGGATCATCCTGGTACTGCTCCTAGAGACGGCCCCACGGCAAAACCTAATCGGAATCCCCCAAAGGGATATCTCCAGCAGAAGTTCAAACCACACACATCTACTGGCCAGAGATCACAAATATGTCACACAATCAAGACAATAATGCATGAACATGCCATTTCACACAATGTCACAGAGCACACAATCCAACCACTACCTTCCACTAGGTGTGGCGGAACACACAAGGGGATAAAACCCAAGTACCAAGAGTTTACCTCAACTCCTCACAAGCAATGCTCTTCAACGTTAGCTCCAAGCTCTATTCGCCTCTATTGAATTCGTGAGAGGTAACCTACAATGATCATACAATAATTTGATCACAATTACCAACAACCAAAGAACACACAATCACTCTCACATTCCAACCTAATTTCCATGAAACTATTTCCATATTGCCAATGGGCATCTTGTTACAAACAAAGGGATTTTCAATTGTTCTATCATGTTTCATTTTCATTCAACATCCACATTAAATTCCCCAACAACCTACATATAATTCTCACCAACCATATTTAAGACTACAACCCACAACTCCATCTTTTTCCACCAATTTTTCACTAAGTTACAAAGTTCTACATCACCATAAATATTATTGGTTCAATCATAATCATTTATCATTGTGTACAATAAATTACAAAGGGACACTACCATTAAAGCTCTCCAACTACCATAACTCACATACATTGTTCACATATTCATCAAATTTATGATCTCTCAAATAACTCAATGAAATTGGGAATACTTACCACAAATGAACTCCCAAGCTCCCTAAGAATGGTTTCCAAGCACCAATGCAAGAAATGAGAGCTCCTAAGTCCCCACTTATCACCTAGGTCGAAATCCTTAGGAGGGGAATATCTCCTCACTCAATACTCCCCTCAAGAATCTGTCAACATGAAACACACTCATAATGGTGTGGGAAACAATTTTGTAGTTGCAAGTTTCTCCTAAAAGTGCCTAAAAATAGAGATAGAAATTCAAGCTCATGATTTGGTCTCCCATGGTGATTTTCACGATTTGAGGCTGATGGGAGGAGAGAGAAGGTCAGCTTTCGTGACAAAATTTCTCTCTCATGTGTTATAACTCACTAACTTAAGTGGGAGTAAGTCTCACTTGTCACTTAACTCACTTAAACATCCATTTTATCCCACAAATTCTTAATCTATATCTTTTTCTCATTCACATCATATTTTTACTTCCTAAAAATACTGATCATATTTTCACACTTATCGGTACAATTATACCGCAGTATTTTACACCGGTAAAATCACTATTCATCAAATTTCCCAAAATCGACCTACAAACTCCAAATTTCGCTCTGAATTCGTTTCCGGTATTATTTTTCTCAAATTATGCTCCGATTTATCATTTCACTGTTAAGGGTTACACATTTGACAATTTACCATTTTGCCCCTGATGGGTATTTTGACCCCAAATCTCAGGATTTTCACTAATTAAACCCTTTAACCCTCA